ATTTTCGTCTTTGATCTCCTCCTTAGTGTTTTGATCCGCAGAAAGTAGTTTCTCTCTTCTCTCTCGATACCACTGATCGAGACAAGCTCGCCGCTGCGCCTGGGTCATGCCCTCAACAACGAGCGCAAACTCCGTAGCGTCAGCGTACCCAAACCGCCGCGCCATACTACAAAACTGGCGACGTATGACATCCTCCGGAGGATGATACTTGAATCGCACAGGTTGCTCCGTTGGCTGAGAGTAAGGCTGCGAGGACATGAAGACCTGACGGTCACCTGTCGTGTCATTTGGAGCAAGTTCCGCACGACGACTGAGGTCTTCCTCGACACGCGACGAACCGATCACTTCGTTATTGAGATGGGTATATTCCACGCCTGCGCTTGCCAGAATCGCTTGAACGGGGTCGTGCTTATGCGGTGTTGCCATTGGAAGACCGGCGGAAGGCTTGTGGTCTTTTTCTTCGTCCTCGCCGCAGATCATCGCCGCGATTTGGCTCATTGCTTCGTCTTCGGATTTCATTGGTCGGTCGGTGTAGTCGTGGCCTTCTTCTTCTGCTTTGAGGTCTATGTCCACGACCTGTACCCCCGCACGGCTTTCGGCGACATTTGTTCTGTTGACGATATCGCGCAGAACGATGTTTGTGTTCTGGTATCCGAAGAAATTTTTTAGACCAAATATTTCACCCTTTTGGTCTTTCTTCTCTTGGACGCCTTTGAAATACCGACGCTCGGAGCTTGCATTGTATCCAATGTTTGCCTGTTGCTGCTTGTAGATCTGTCGAGCGTAGACGATTTCTTCGATTGTGCCGGCAGATATAAGCCGGAAGACTTCCACATCGCGAAGTTGTCCTATGCGGTAGGCCCGATCCTGAGCTTGCAAATCGTAGGATGGGTTCCAGTTTGGATCAACGACTACCACTTTGTTTGCTGAGGTGATGTTCAACCCAACACCACCAGCCTTGGTTGATATTAGGAAGACAAACTGTCGCGAGTCGGCATTGAACTCGTCTACAGCCTTTGAACGGTCAGGTAAACTCATAGATCCATCCAGGTAGCTGACGTTGTAGCTAGTGTGATGAAACAACATTTGCAACATCTTGAGAAGACGCACGCTATGCGAAAAGATAAGGACTTTGTCCCCATTCGAATGCCACCACTTAAGTAACTTCCGTAGAACCTTCCACTTGCCGCAAAACTCAGGGTTGGCGTAATTGACGATCGAGTCGCGCGAGCGGTAAAGATCTTCCCATTGTTCAGGCAGCGCAAGTTCCAGATAATCTCTATCTTTTTCCTGCTTCTCTTTCGGGTCTGCACCTTGTGGGATCAGAATTGCCAGATGATTACTGAGCTTTTGAAGCACATTAATAGCAGGGAACACATAGGATTGCCAGCTAGGAGGGTCCCTATCGGGGATAAAGCGGCGACAACACCAGCCGGCCTTCTTGCCGGATCTACAATCGCATGGTTCTGTAGATGTCTTGATATAATCGACGATGTCACTGTCAAGGAAATTCTCGTAGGCCTCGGCTTGTGTCTCAGTCAGAGGACAGAAGACAACCCGATCGACCTTTTTGGGCAGCTGATCCGCAATCAAGGACTTCATCCTCCTGATAAAAAATTGTGGAAGCAAATTCTCAACTAGCTTCTTGGCTGTTCTTCGTGCTCTGCTGAGCTCGCTCAGAGTGGCGTCGTGCGATTGTCCGATCTTCAGTGGCTCCGATATTTGTGCCTTCCAGGTGCTTACCGGGCCCAGAACACCAGGGTTAGTCCAGTTGAGAAGGGTCCATAATTCTTCATATTTGTTCTGGATGGCCGTGCCGGTGAGCCCTATCCGACATAACGCATTGATCTCATTCATGGACTGTGTGGTCCCCGACTTGCGCTCCTTGATCTTGTGGCACTCATCTGCGATGACGCAGTCCCATTCAATCATATTGACGGCGTTTTTGTTGTTCATATAAGTGGTATATGTTGTAATCAGGACTTCCACCCTCCCTGACTTCGCGGCATCGAGAGCAAGGTCCTTGTTATCCCCGTGGTAGCTTTCAACATGCCACCACCCCCAGCACGCAAACTCAGTCTTCCAGTTGGCGATAAGGCTTCCCGGGCACACGATGAGCGTGCGTGGATACCAAGCGCTGTCGTCCGATCTGCGTATCTTTCGCATGCGCTTTGCGTCCCGTTCGTCGCCTGTTTTTCCATAGGCAGCGGTTAAGAAAGCAATCACCTGAATGGTTTTTCCAAGACCCATGTCGTCTCCTAAGACGCCACCCTTTTGGTATACAAACAGCTCGTGAAGAAAGGCAACTCCTTCCACTTGATACTGCCGCAACCACTGGGCGATCGGGGCGGGTATAATACCCATCGAATAGGGAAGTTGGATGTCCTTGTACTCCTGCTTTCGGGTATTATCCGGAAAGACAGGTCGTTCTTGCAGTTCTTCAAGCCGTTCATCATCCGAGAAGTCCACATCCTCATAGGTGGGTGGTAGCTTCAGTCCATGATCTTTCAGATGTTCGAGCCTCTGGTCGAACTGGCTGCGGCGGCTTTTGAGGTATCCAGGTAATGTATTCTCCATTAGGTCATCATCTGAAGATACCTCGCCCCATTGTTTCAACGGCCGCTTTGGCTGAGGCGTTGGTCGCTCTTGTTTTATTCGACCAACGATTGCATCTCTCCTGGGCGTCTTGGCTTTGCGAGTTGCTGCAGCATCTTGTTTGCGCTTGAGGGATTTGCGTTCCTTGAACTTCTTGTACGCTAGCTCGCCATCGTTGGTATCCTCCTCATCGCTGTCCACGGGCTGGATCTTTACAGCACTTGATGACTCGGAAAGATGAGTGCGCGACGATTCGGGTTTAACCGGTGTAGCAGCCCCGTGTTTCAGACCGGAAAATCTGTCTTGAGAGAATGTGAGCTGTCTGTCAAACGCGCCGAAGAGGTGTCATACCCCTAGCGGTCGGAGTTGCATAGTGCGTCACCTCCAAGTCGTCATCATCTGAATCAATGATGATGGCCTCGTCAGTAATCTCGTTATTAGCCATGTTCTCTGCATTTCTGAAAACACGACTCAAATAGTGACAGAGCGTAGGCCGAAGGGAGTACCAGACTGTCGCGAAACAGCGTCAGGTACGGCACGCGATAACGGCCATGTAGTGAATTTGAAACTGTTCGCCCAAGAAAGCTTCAATTGACCATCATTTAACACATAGCTTGGTAACCTGCTTTTTCTTCTTTCTCAAAAAGAATTTAGTTGCTGTTGATATCTCCTAAATGCTCAAATAAGTGGTTGAAATGGTTCTTTCTGGATTTATAGAGTTGGTCGACAGGGTCACGTGTAAGAGAACCAGAGAAAAAGATGCTCTCATTGGTTTGGCATTCGATTCTTTGCATATGCGACAAAGTCAACGTAAGTCGAAGAGAATATTCTACGTCTGTCATTTCTCAATAAAGGAACGTCCGACTGACCTAAGCCCACAGAGAACGCAAAATAAAGCTTGACTTCCCGCTTGACATACCCTCTTTTCGCTCAAGACAACTCTCGTTCTTATCAGAAAAGCCGCAAAGATGCCGCTAGACACCTCGACGACATATCCCCTGACGCGGCTTCGCCTTGATGGCCGTCGCTGGAACGAACTCCGCCTGCTCCAAGCTCAGATCTCAACCAACCCCGCCAGCTCGGGCTCCTCATACCTGTCCATGGGCAACACATCAATCATGTGCTCTGTTCACGGCCCTGCCGAGGGTCGCCGAGGAGATAGTGGCGCTGCAGGAAGTGGCCATGCAGTCGTGGAGGTGGATGTCAACGTCGCTGGGTTCGCCGGCGTAGATCGCAAGCGGAGAGCCGGTGGAAGTGATAGGTATGCACCCTCTTACGCTTTCCCATTTCACCTTCCTGCCATAGGGAGATAGGGAGATAGTTACGGTGGCATCAGACTAGATACAGATACAGCCAATGCTAATCTCCCGGGGACTACAGACAATCAACGCGAATCGGTACAATCATCCGGTCAACCTTCCAGTCTCACCTCCACACCTACCTCTATCCCCACAGCACAATCAGCATCCATATCTCCGTTCTCTCTGCCGATGGCTCACTGCTCGCCGCGGCGATCAATGCCTGTACCCTAGCGCTCGTGGATGCTGGAATCCCTATGCCAGGACTACTCTGTGGCTGTACTGCAGGAATGAGTGGTAGCGCCTCTACACCGCGTGACCCGCGACATGACGAGCTTGACCCACTGCTGGATCTGTCGCTTCCAGAAGAACAGGAACTGCCTTCGCTCACTGTTGCGACGACGACAGCGGTGCCCGTTGGCGAGAACAATATGGACGACGATGAAGAGGCAATGAAGGTGTGTGTGCTTACTATGGAGTCTAAGGTGCATGCTACGTACCTTGAGACAATGTTGGCGGTCGGGATCGATGGGTGCAGTCAGATTCGCGAGTTGTTGGAAGGTGTCATCAAAGGATCTCGGGGGTGACGCAAAAAAAAAGAAAAAACAAAAAACAAACAAAATCAAAAAGGAGATTCAAACGAGAGAATAGTTCAAGTTGATACCCTCTGTCTTACGTTTAATGTTACCAGTTACAGCCCAAATCCGAGAATTTGCTCAAACCACCTCGCCGCTAAGTTTTTAGGGCCAAATCTATAAATCTGCTCATATTGCTCCCATTAGGGCAGAGTGACGGTGAAGCGCTCCCCTCTTCTATTCTATCTCCTATTCTCTCTTCTTTCTACTCCTTCATATATTTTGTACTGCTTCCCTTCAGTTTCAATCAACACGATACTATCTCGATTCGGTGCTCCTAAGGTCCTCAATCAACATCAATCATGGACATGGGCGGGATGACCATGTCAACGGCCACTGCCACAGCCTCGGCAGCGATGGCCAGTGCCACCAAAGCGGACGTGGGACATAGTTGCAAAATATCGGTCCGTCTAATATCAATCGCACATTCACTACCTTGTATGGATTCAAGCTTACTCACAGTCATGATCAGATGCTTTGGAACTGGTATACAATCGACTCATGTACGCAGCCCTACCTATAATCCCTCTGCACAAGGCTACAAAGCTAACTAAACCAACCTAGGCTTCCTCGCCAAAACATGGCACATCAGGACGCGCGGCATGTTCGCCGGCTCCTGCATTGGAGTGATCTGCCTCGTATTGAGCCTTGAGTTCCTCCGCCGTCTAGGCCGAGAATACGACTCGTTCATAGTGCGCCGAGCCCGTCTTCGAAGACTCTACATGTCGGACTCTTCTACCGCGCAATCCATCTCCAACGTCCCCCTACGCAGCGAAGAAGACACCACCAAGCCGTCCGGCAACTGCTGCGGCGGCAACGCAGAGATCGACGCTAGGTCCTCCGCAGACGACGACATCATCACTCCTGTGTCGGGTGCTCCCCAGAACGGAGCGTCGAAAAATAAAGCTTCTATCTCTGCTACTACGCCGGCTAATTGCATTCGAGATGTCGGCGGCCAGCGCATCGAGAGACAGGACGCTCTGCTTGCCCCGTATCGTCCGTCGCTTGTTGAGCATTCTCTGCGCTCGCTGCTGCATATGACGCAGTTTGCTGTTGCGTACATCATCATGCTGCTCGCTATGTACTTCAATGGGTATATCATCATCTGTATCTTCATTGGTGCTTTCCTGGGCGCGTTCATCTTCTCCTGGGAGCCGGTGGACTTGAATAAGGAGTAAGTTGTTTCGTTCAACTACTATACTTTCACCAGGGCTAACATGGCTTCTTTCTTCTTCAGGTCAGATGCTACGTCTGTCACTAAGTGCTGTGGTTAAATGCCTGGGCATGGTGTGTTGTCTTGACTTGCGTTCCAATTACGATTTGATTCTACTCCAGCATCTCTAGATGCGTCTGATATCCCCGGTATTTGTTTTCTCTGTCTCAAAATGGCAGAGGGTAAAATGCACTTGCTCGTGTCCACAATTATTGTTCCTTGTTTCTGTGCTTGTCTTTTGTTCTCACCTGTAATGCCATGACGTATGAACCATCTCTTCTATCTCGATTACTCTCTACTCAAGTGCCCTCTAACAATAAATGAAACAGACTTAATGTAGAGCATGCATCAACCATTACTAATATCATCTGACTAGTTACCAAGGTACTAGGTTATCTATTGGAGGCGGTGGAAACCTTTTCCGCTAAAAAAAGAAAAACCCTGCCGCACGCGGGGTAAGGTGATGTAGTTAGCCGCAGACCCCGCCGAGTGATCGAACCACCACACCATACGTGGGGTTCTTTGCTGGGAGAAGGCCTGGGAAGGAATTGCAATAGGAGAATCTGGATACTTTCGTGCTTTGCCGTGGATTGACTCGAAATATGTCTAGGTTGACATGCAGGTTTTAGGAACTTTGGCTCCAAGGCTATATCTAGAAAAGTCGTCCTTACAAAACTACTAATTCTCAAATTGAACATTAAGTCCCCACGACAGATAGGAATGTATGAGCTAGCTTGGTAGAAACTTTAGATTACAAGGCGCAAAAGGGAAAGCCACCTATGCTAGTCCCACGCCGCACTAGAGCGTTGGGAAAGAACCAAGTCCATGACGAAAAGAAAGACGTTCATCCTCCCAACACCCAACTAAATCTCCAGAATGAGCTTTTTAGTTGCCACCGCAGTTGACGATGGTGGGCTTGACAGCGGAGCGGATGGAGCCGGAGGAGGAGCCGAGGGCCTCGATCTCCTTGACAACCTTCAGGGACTCATCATCAGCGACCTCGCCGAAGACGACGTGCTTGCCATCGAGCCACGAGGTGACAACGGTGGTGATGAAGAACTGGGAGCCGTTGCTAGAAAAGAAGGAAACGGTCAGTATGGTTCTCTGGATGTAGACCAGCCGGGATACAAGACTAAGACTTACGTGTTGGGGCCAGCGTTGGCCATGGACAGAAGACCAGGGCGGGTGTGCTTGTGAACGAAGTTCTCATCGGGGAACTTCTCGCCGTAGATGGAGCGGCCACCGGTACCCTATTCCGGTAAAATCAAAGTCAGATACCGAGCGTTAAGCGGTTATCAGGATTAGAAAAACTTACGTTGCCACGGGTGAAGTCACCACCCTGGAGCATGAACTGGGGGATGACACGGTGGAAGGAAGAGCCCTTGTAGCCCTCACCCTGCTTGGCGTTGCAAAGCTCAGCGAAGTTCTTGGCGGTCTTAGGGACCTCGTTGGCGTAGAGCTTGAAGTTGATGCGGCCAATCTTGGCTAATGAGGAGTTAGCATCAGTTTCAATTCCAATTAATGAGACATGATGTGAAATCTCCAAGCTTTGATGCTAGCATTGAAAGCTGGAGGTTGGAGACAGCAAGGTAAGGCTGGAGCGCGGAGGCAAAAACTCCCTGCCCCGCCGGAAACGAGAATAACAGGAAAACTTACGGGTAGAGGAGCCAGCAGGGGCGTACTGGACCTCGAAGAAGGCGGAAGTGTTGGGGGCGGACATAGCGGCGGTTGATGAAGCGAAAGATCGGGCAGCGGGGTGGAAGGAAGTGCAATTGAAGAGGGAAGAAGAGAAGAGGGAAGAAGGTGGGGTTATTGACCTCAGTCGGCAGAACATGGTGAGGGGCAGGGCGGAGCGGGTGAACTCGGGTGCCGGGCTACTTTGGGGTTAGCTTGTTGGGGTTGACTTAAAGACCACTTGTGCAGTTTCTGCCTGAGGCTCCACTTTGGAGCTTCTCCAGACTTCCAAAGGGGAAAACATCACTGCCTCTGTTGCCTAATGATGTCTCCGAAAGAGTCTGAAGCAGAGTGGATCTTCTCTCTAGCCTTCAGATGAAAAGGGACCAATCGCACTTACAAAGGATATAGATGATGAGGAATGCGAATTAAGGAAGTAGAAAGAAGGGAAAAAACGAAGCTCAACGCCAGAAGGCGTCTAGAGCTCCGAGATTATGTAATGTCTTCCGGGATATCCCTTCCGAACTAGCAATCTTGGCTACAAGAAGACATGCATCTTCCGAGGGGGAAACTTGCATTGATTTATTGGTATAGTCATTAAGTTGAAGATGTACAGGGTACTTTCATTTTGTATGCATCCAAATGCAAAGAAATGATAGCCCGACACCAGCAAGCGGTCGTGAGATAAAATAAAGAGGCACGAATCAACATGAAATCAGGCCGAAAAACCTAGATGACCAATACAAAAGGGCTAAAATAAAGTACAAAGAATAGGAAAATGTAGAAGAAAGAGAAATGACAAAAGGGCAAGAAAACCCATAAATGCCACACATGTCGGGACATCGTTTCGACATTGTCCGCTCGTTGCCATAGATAAATAGTCGCTGAAAAGCAAGGGGCAAAGAGGAAGGAATATAAAGAAGAATTTGAGGGGAAAGGAAGACAAAATGAGTAGCCCCGAGCTCATGCGATGAGAAACAATGCTTCGGATCAAGCTCATTTACCGGAAGTCATCTTCCTCGCCAGTAGCCACCGATGTGGCCTCAAGCCGCTGAACAAGGTCTTTGATCTGCCGAGCGATCTCAAATGCAATGGGAGGCAGTTTGTTCGTGAGCTCATGCAATTGCTCCGGGGTGGTGGCGTCCTGGCCCTCACCAGCAGTGGCCGCCAACCGGCCGCGACACTGGTCCAATGCCGCGATGACTGGTTCAGATGTCTGCCGCAAAGTGATGTCTCCGCTGCGTTCGCGCATCAACTGCTCTGTAGCGGATACCACATTCGCAACAACGTTCGAAATGGCAGATACGTGCGTCTGAACAGTCTGCAGGTTGTCCTCGGCTCGGATACTGGCCACCAAAGCCTGGATTTGTTGGACCATGCCATCGGTCTGGTCCTCGACATAGAGCTAGGATCATCCGTCAGTAAATCATTCGTTGAGCGGTATTATCTTTCTCCGGTCGACTCACCTTAAGTTCCAACACCTCATGATCTTCTTGCACATGCCCCCAGCCATGATTGAGGTCATTAGTCGCGCCATTCTGCGCAGGGTACTGAGAGTCATCTGGACGACTCATAGCACTGTAGACGGAGTTATTGCTCATCCGCTTTTGACTGCCAGATGTACCAAAATAGTCGGGGAATTGGTCTTGAGGTACATCCACCTCATAATCTTCATCTTCCAGCTCATCTATAGGCGATGCCTGGATCTTCACCACCCGTATCAGGTCAACAATAGCGGTGCAAAGATGCGAGGCCGCTGCATCAAGGAGCGACACCGGGGATAAACCACTAGAGCTAGCGAAGTTGCGGGTAGCGGTGATCATGTTGTTTGCTGTCGTAGACACCTGGCCCTTGACCTTTGCGCGCAGAGCAGCCGACCCATCCACCGGGATCGGGGAATATTCCACGTCCTGCAGAATATGGCGAACTGTTACAATGACCATCTTGATGTGTTGGAGCACCACATGCGATTCCTCGAAACGCGCAACTCGCAGGAGCTCGTCCACAGATACCTGGAACTTAGTAACATGGATATCTTTGACCAACCCGTCGGCTTGCACCAACTCATGCTCTTTGGCGACAAGACTTGCGTCGGGCCGCGAGTCGGCGAAACCACCAGAGGACGTGCGAAGATGCCGCAGCTGCGCCTTGACCTTGGCATAACGATGCTTCCATTCGTTGGCATCTGCCTCGAGTCTGTGCACCTCATGCGAGAGCTGTTCTTCGCGCTCCCAATTAGACTGACTCTCGGCTGAAAGAGTCTTCATTTCCGTCAGGAAAGCCGCTGCCTCGCGGCGGACCTCGTTGGTCACCTGTTTCTGCTGCTGCAACTCTGCCTGCAAGTTCTGGTGCTGAGTCTCTAGATCAACATAGCGCGCTTGTAGACCCGCATCATCGACACCCCGGGAAGAGTCATTAAGCTGACTGCGAAGATCTCGTTCCACAGTCTCGTGCTCGGTTCTAACCCGCTCAAGCTCTAGCTGAAGCGAGCTGTTGAGATCCTCGGCTTTTGATACCTTACTCTCAAGATCATGTCGTAACTCGTCCCACTCCTGGCGTTCGTTATGACTGATCCCGGAAGAATCTGCATCTTGTGATGACTGGGCCAACTCCTCATCCTTGGCGCGGACCAATTCTTCCAACTTTTCGATCTTATCTTGGAGAACCGATACTTGTGTCTGGCTTTCTAATAACAATCTCCGCTCACTCTCACCCAAGGTCGTTGTAGTACCCCGTCGGCTCAGAGCATCTAGAGCGAACGCATCACTCCGAGCATCATCCTCATCATCTGGTCCCATATCATCGCTATCCTCTACCATCGTACTCTTATTCGGAACCATAGTATTGCTCTGGAAAGACCGAGGAAACGGACCATCGCCATTTATACTCGGTGGGCCCCCAAGAGAGCCAGCACGCGGAGGAAACGGACTGCCTGGGGGACCACCAGACGGGTACCCGCGGCCCATATGCGGGGGAGGACCCCGAGCAGACTGTTGTGAGGTACGAGCGCTACCAGGGCCCATATTGGGAGGCGGCCGGGCTCGGTAATCTCGGCTGGTGAAATGCGGGAAGCGGCGCTCCAGCTCACAGAAGACATCGGTCGCCAAATCTCGGAAGCGCACGTGGTGGAGCGCAGCAAGCTTTTGGCGGGCATGGTTGCGCTTTTCGTGGAAGTCGCTTCGAGCGGGGAGATAAGGAGGCACGTCCGTACGAGGTGGCCGTCCAGGAGGCGGCGAGGCCTGCTGCCGCCGGATCAATTCGTCGTAAACATCGGTGGAAAGTTCATGGAACTGGGTTGGCGATAGCCGCAGCAGTTTATCTCGGGCCTTATTCGACTTGCCACGGTCGTCGCGGGCTGTGCCGTTCAGGAATCTTTTCAGGACCACGTAGTGCTGGCCCAGGATCTCCTCCATCTGACGATAGCGTCTTCCATCGCGCGGGCCGTCTCCTAGTGTCCCGGAACTGGATCTTGCGGCGACTGAGCTGGGCGGGGATGGGTTACCGCTCCGGATGGAGGGTGATATCGAAGGAGGTGGCCCACTGGGACTTAGCGGTACGCTCGGGACGCCGGAGGTCGGAGGTGTGGCTAGGTTGGCTCGCGATGATGGTGAGAATGGCCCGTCCGACTTTCCATACTGATTTAGTCCCGACCATTCGCTACCATCGACAGAGACAGGCGACATGGCTCCCGAACCCCCATGCATATCAGGCTCAAACTGGGGGTGTTCCGATTTCTCACTATTGAATATTCACACTCGCTGTCCGACGGGGCCAGCTGTCACAGATAATCGATAAAGGCATTCACTTCGTCACGGTAAAAAAACGAAATCCCCTGTATTTCTCCACTAAGATTCCAATCTGAGACAATGTAGCCGGAGGTAGGTGAGGAGTCGTGATTCGCCACGAGGGAGTCGTAAATAGTCGAAGAATACGAACAGCGAAAGTACCAGATCCGAAAGAGTGAAGGACTGGACTGATATGGTGGAAAAGGGACAAACCGAAAGTGCGAAAGTGGTTTTAGTAGCTGAACTCTCCGCAGTTCCCTTACGGCAATACCAGACAGTTACTTCGAGTTCCTTACTCCCCGGGGCCGTACAGTATTTGCGCTACTATATGTATGCATCTACAGGGATTTATGCGTGAGGATATGATCTCAGATCTGATGAGCATTATTTTTCTTTCCTTTTTTTTATGTATTCTTTTTACTTGGCTAACTGCATAACCCCAGGCCATCGTTTTCCTAAAGCTTGATCAATAATAAGATCAATAGTCAAGTCGAAAAGTGGCTATACTCGTATATGATACTTGTATTCTATACCTCTCCCTGCCAAGACCACGGCCCAGGGGAACTCCCCAGGGGCACAGCATACTACTTCGTACACATCTATGTACTAGAATGTATCGAGGAATTACATATCTATAAGTAATGTAGCTAACTTTAAACATGTTCAATAAAATCATATCCAGACATTGACCTTGACATATCTACATGGACTTACCTTCTTCTCCGTATATCAAATTTAATAATAGAACCATCCAAATGAGAAGAATTCAGGAGTTGACGATTCTAGGCCCTTGCCTTGCCCCATAATTTTGTACACCGTATAATTTTGTATGTTGTATGTTGTACCCGACAGTCCACGGGTCCCACCTTGTATTATTTGAGAACTAGGCCTGGAAAACAAATAAATTCTTTCGGTCATATCTATGGGAAGTGTAAAATGTAAAAAAAAATGCCGAAACAACTAAGTACACAATGTGGAACAGCTTCAATACACGCATGAATGCTTTGGAGCATTGGTTATAGGGCTCCCAAGGGAGATGCCTTCAGTACGCCTCATTTGGATCTTGCTGATCCACTGGCATCGAATGATTCCTCAATACCGGCTGTCCGGAGACCGGATAGCGTCAGTAATTGAATTTTTTTTTTTACTGTCAGTTGAGATGGTCACCCATTAGAATGCAGAGGCAAAGACAAGGCGAGCGATAGGTACGCCAAAGAGTCTTGAACGTGAATGGTATCGGAAGAATCATGGGTCGTAGCCACACATTTACATTGGCCCACAGCTGCGGGCCAGGAGGAGTGAGTCATGTCATCGTTTATTTGGAGGTCATGGAAAGGCCACGGGTGGCGCTGACGGCAGAAGACACGGGGGTTGAGGACCGTGTGGGAGCTGCGCTACGGTTGTGGGCCATGTGTGCCTTGACGAGATGACCGGCGGCGAGCGCAGAGCAGAGACTGAGCTCACCGGCGAGAACGGAGGCAGCAATGATACGAGACAACTGGCGTGCGTTTTCGCCGGGGTAGGTCGAGTGAGCACCGCGGACACCCAGGAGATCCAGCATAGCACCTTGCGCTTCAAGGATAGTGCCACCGCCAATGGTGCCTACCTCAATGGAAGGCATAGACACAGCGATCTGGAGGTTGCCATTGTTGCTGTTGAGGAAATCATTATTAGCATCTCAATGGTCAAAAAGTGGCGGATGATAAAGCTTACTTCTTCATGGTTGTGATACAGCTGCTGCTCTCAACGTTCTGGGCCGGATCCTGACCAGTGGCCAGGAAAATGGCAGACACGATGTTAGAAGCATGAGCGTTGAAGCCACCCAAGCTGCCCGCCATCGCACTTCCGATCAAATTCTTGCTGACGTTCAGCTCAACCAGTGCGTCGACGTCGCTCTTAAGGACACTCTTGACAATATGGCCAGGAATGATAGCCTCTGCCACGACGGACTTACCACGGCCATCAGTCCAGTTGATAGCAGCAGACTTCTTATCTGTGCAGAAGTTACCAGAAAGCGAAATGATGGACATGTCATCGAAACCACACTCCTTATGCATAACGTCCAGTGCCTTCTCGCAGCCCTTAGAGATCATGTTCATACCCATGGCATCACCAGTGGTAGTCTTGAAGCGGATATACAGGTAGGTTCCGGCAAGGGCAGTCTTGATGCTCTGCAGACGGGCAAAGCGACTGGTCGAGTTGAAAGCTGTTGTCATGATACTCCGGCCTTCCTCGGAATCGATCCAAACCTTAGCAGCGGCAGCCCGGGCCAAGGTTGGGAAAGTTACACAAGGACCACGAGTCATACCGTCACCGGTCAGCACAGTCACTGCACCACCACCGGCGTTGATTGCCTTGGAGCCACGACTTGTACTAGCCACCAAGACACCCTCGGTAGTAGCCATGGGGATAAAGTAATTTTGTCCGTCGATATTGAGAGGACCAGCGACACCAACAGGAAGGGGCAAGTATCCGATAACGTTTTCACAGCAAGCACCGTGGACAAGGCCATAGTTGTAATTCAGGTAGGGGAGCTTGGAGTTTTCCAAAACGGAAGTGATAGCAGAGGTAGTAGGAGTCCGGGAGACCACAGATCTGCGGATCTTCACAGCACGAGTAAAGGCATCAACACGACTCATCAAGTTCTCATCCTCCATAGACTTTTCCAGCGCGTAACCTGGAAGCTTGCCACGGAGGGAAAGATCGATCAGCTCCTCATCGGTAAGCAAGGGCGTACGCTTTGCCCTGAGCAGAGACTCGCATTCTTCGACGCTCCTTCTTGACTGTTGTTCATTTGGTTCAAACTTGGGGTAGACCTTCGGTGCGATCACAGGCTCGGTAAGGGTCTCAGGGTCCTTGATACTCCAACGGGCAGCATTGAAAAGATATCCGTTGAGGATGATGCTGAGAGTTAAAGCGGCGATGATCCATTTGCTGATGACAGGGTCTTCGACGCTCTTGAGCAGACTTTCGAGAACCTTGCCACCCACGGCATCCAAGAACTGATCAGTGTACTCGATATCAAACGAACCAGAGTCGGTAAGAGCTGCGTAGTGAACTGAGGGGTACTCCAACTTGTACTTGATCGGCGAAAGGATGGTAACAATAGTCTCCTGCTTCTGGCTCTTGGCAGCCACGTACACACTATCCAGGCCATTCTCTGCCACTTTGAAAGGATCAATGGGGGTAGGAGACAGGACGTTGGAGAAACGCGAGAGCAGGCCACCGTTGCCGGTGTTCCGGAAAGGAATGGCTGACATGTTCACGACATTGATCAAAATCAAACCACCAACCATGATAATCTTGAACCGGCGCACATTGCTCGACTTGATCTTGCGGCCAAAGATGCTGGTATCCGCCTCGCCAGATCTGGCGTTAGGCCAGTCGTTGCTAGAAGCGACATTCTCGGCAACGGTGTGGGTAATGCCATCTTCTTCTAAGGCCTTGCGAAGTGCCACGTGACGCTTGATCCGAGTGATCTCGAGCTTGATGCAGAGAATGGTGGTATAGAAGGTGAAGAGAAGCACGCAGTCAAAGAACAAGATCAAAGCTGCGAGGAAGCAGAACTGCTGGAGTCCACCTTGGACGCCAGATGCCGCACCCAAAGCCAACAGACCAATCTCAATGCAGTAGTGCTGAACGATCTCGTAACCTTGGTCCTTGATCGCAGCTGCGATAGAGTCCTGGATGGACCTCGGTGTGCTCGATGCCAGCGGGCGAGGGGCAGCGCCGGGAAGAGGTCGGCGATTGTCCACAGAAGCTTTCAGGACGGCCCGAGTGAACATAATCGGCTTCTCAAATCCAATGGTAACAACCAAGAATGGAAGACCTTCAGACAGCAAGAGGAGGTTGATAGGCACGCCCAGCCTGGTGGTCACGTGTAGTCCAAAAAGGAATGCAAAGGTGCCAGAGAGGAGCACGGTAGCCCCAAGCCAAAAGTTGGAGCCCAATCGTCGCATGGAGAAGAAGAGTGAGACGAAACTCAGGTGCATCGAGAGGTAGCCAAGAGCCATGATAACAATATCAATGGTTTCCGCGTGCTTGATCAGATCCACAAAGGAATTCCATGAATCCGCGATCCAGAGCTTCACGGCTCTGCGGGATCCGTGGACCGGGCCACGAGCAGCTCTCATGATCCATTTCTTGGATTCCACCTCATTCTCATCCGTGGGTGGGGCAGGGATCTCCTGCACAGCTCTCAAAAGTTCCGAGACTTGTTCAAAAGGTACGGTGTAAACCAGGGAAGCGTCATGAGTAAAATGCGAGAAGAGGTTCGGGGTGTACGGGACCGAGTTGGCGGAGATATCGGCAGGAATCGGGACATCATCAGCTGCCGGGGCAGTTGAATCAGAGTTGGTGGAATCAGGGAAGATGAGGGTCGTCAGAGCCAGGTGCTGGGCAGCAGGCTTCTTATTCTAACATTTCATTGAGTCAGTATATCATTCTCGGCGCCCAAAAAGAAAGGTGGGGTGAAATGGGCTCACCTGGGGGTCAGTCCACGCATCTTCCGCCTGCCACTTCCAGGAAGTTGATTCTCCGAGTCGCAGATTGCGGCTTCCCTGGAGAAGGGCATCGGTGTCGACCTGTCCCGCGACACTTAACGAGTCTTTCGGGGTATCAAGCAGGCTGCCTTCGAGCAGACCCACATAGGTAGTGCTGGCAAGGATGGCAATCACCACGAGAGTGTGAATAGGGTGCACACAGGCCCGGTGAGAAATAAACTGAAGGCCTGACACAACTTGACGCCGGATCCAGCTGGGTTGAGTATTCTGCTCTTCCTCGGTTGAGCGAAGGCGTTTGGTGATGAACGAGGTAGCCATGTTGACGAGTCGCGGAGGAAGCGGTGAGGACGTCTGTTGAAGGCGTTGGGTTTAAGACGGTCCGCAAGGACCAGAACCTGCGAGGAAAGCCGTCGTGGGATGATGTTTTACACCAAAACCAATCCCGAGGAGAAAATCTTTGAATTAAGATCTAATTCTAGGAGCGCATATGGGCTGCACAAGTCGATGTTGACTGGGCAGGATTCCGGGCTACTGTTTTTTTCTTCTCTTAGTTGCAGTCACCAAGGTCCAAACCAAAAAAAATACATACCGAGGGGAGAAGTAGAGAAAGCTCAAGGCACAGCCCTTGGAATTGGAGGTCGTAAATGGAAAAAAAAGTAAGGGCCCCCTGAAGCTGAAATAATAGGTGCCCGAGACCGCTGGAATTAAGTATCGCCGACAACGGGGTCGCCAAGACTTCAGCTAGTGGAGAATTGGTCGGGTTTCCAGCGAGGCGATTTATTATTGGAGAGAATCTTGGTATTTTATAACGAGAACAAAGAAGAAATAATAAATAATAGAAGCGTTAAGAACCTTGGAAGAATGGGCAGAACAATAATACGCCGGATCCCCGAGTCAAGCTGACATGGAGGGAAAATTCCACGATTACAATCCAGGCTGCAATATTTCATAAAGAACTACATATAGCGGAATGGCTTGAAGAGGGTGATATGGAGGAATAACATAGTATTTGTAAATGGCAATTCAAGTCCACGGGTGATGCAGTAGACCCTTTAGAGAAAATTTCCACCGAACAAAAGCCCAAGTAGGTACCGAGTGCCTACAACAGACAAAGTACAAAGTACAACCCAAGGAATCGGAGCTATTGGATGCACAGGCATTTGTTTATATTTACGCCGATCCTTTAAGTATAGTCATGGGACACAGCATACAACCATGTTGCACACTATACGTAGTGAATTGAATTAGGAATCTTTAGGAAGACATTCAATCTAGTTATATTTCTCAAATCTTGACATCTTTACGTGATACCAAACAGAATGTGGGAGAGAAGCAGCAAAGGCTCCACTCGCTTTGTTCAGGGTTATTAGCCCTGTATTATTCAAATGAGGTTTTGTTCCGTCCACGTCAGCCACATTTCCCTTAGTCTGAAGAGGAAAGTCGAGGGATATACGGAGGACTGGGCATCCAATCTGCGAGTCCATGTCAGAAAAAGAGTCCACCCAATTTCTCTCATACCAGTGAGATGGAATCCACCCGGTGGAGCTACGGAGAAATCTGATAAAAATCTGATAAAAATCTGATAACTCGGAGTCAAATCATCTTCTCGGATTGACCCGGTGCAGACTCCATATATCCATAATAAGCTCGGTAACCGAGCTTGCCAAGTGAAAAAGAGAAAAAGATTAGATCGTTTACTTGTTGAATGCCGAGTTACTCCGGTCTTGGGAGTGTGCAGAACTTCTCACTTTCCGAGGTGCCTTGGGTGCCTTGGGTGACCTCAAGTGGCTTTCCTATTGTATTGGTGCTCTCTGATGCTCGTGGGTACTCCCCTTTTGCTGCTTTGTTGATCACCAAGTGAACCCCGTGGACTGGGCCCTAAGCTAGGGGTCGCCGGGTGGCACCTCCTGAATCCTGGGCCTGGGGGGCATCTGGGCACTCCCCATTCATTATGTAAGCCTGTAGTTGGGATTGTCCTGGTATTTTGATCAGCGTGTTCGCAATCGTCTAAGTAGATTACAATGTCAGGGTCAGCCTGCGACAATCATGTGCTCATAGATTTGAGAACAACCAACTGCCATAAGGGGTGGTCATGATAAAAGGGAACAAGAACAAATGAAACAGACATTATCATCACCGTAGCAGCCTTTTTTTTCAACAAGCTAATACTTCTTAAAAAGATAGGTTCTAAAATTAATGAGATATTGGTGAATATCCGATATCTTTTGCGCAATTTATAAGTTGTTCAGAACCAGAGATATCATAGCAAGTGATCAGGTGAAATGGCAAAAAGCAAACAGAGAAATATCCAGAAGGAGCCAAAGCGCTAAAGAGGGTCTTCGTTAATTTCGACTCCGACGGCGAAGCGCCCAGGGTGGCCCGAATCAACCAATAGCCGTGCTTGCTGAGCCAACGGACCTGCAGACCTGCAACACACCTGCAAGCTTGGAAGATCGAGCACCTAGAGTCTTGCATATATCACGGCTACGCGCCAGGAGCGGATCCGAGCATGTCTCGAAATATTCTGTGACTCTAAATATCTCCCCTCTCACCCAATCATCCCCTGCTTTGTCTAGAGGCCCTAGGGTCATTGGGTTTGTATTGTCTATTAACAGCCTTGATTGTAACAATGACGGGTTGGCACAGGGTTTAGAGCCTCTCCAATTAGACTCAAAGACTCGAAGTCGGACAATGGTTTCTTTATGTGTAACAGCTTCCCTTGAAACCCTTTTTATACTATTCTTATCCTTATTTTCGCTGTGGCCTGGGGGTGTTTGGTGTAAAATTAACAATAGAGCCATTGTCTATTCACACTCATAGTCACAGGTCTATCATTCCAATGATCCTATTCATCTCGACAAAGCCCATTGTTGCAGCCTTCGACCTGGCCGCTTCATCGTTCTTCTAGACTCAATAAATACGGCACTTCCCGCTTGCACAACCCCAGCTTCTTCCATATCTTTATACCCAAAGAAAGAGATACTGCAATACCTACTCGAGTTGACGCCGCCGGCCGCCGTTCTCTCGTCCCCTTCAAGTCCACAAAACTTCATTCTTACAACCTTTAACCCCGAATCCTACATATCCAAAACCACCATCACGATGTTGATCATCGTTTTGATAGTGCTCCTTGCTCTGTATACCCCAACACACGCTCATTCTTGGGTGGAAGAGCTCACCCTCATTGCTCCAAATGGAACCTTCGTCGGCACTCCAGGATATCCACGAGGGAACTACCTGCGCACGACATCGGGCTTTAGCGACACTGCAATGACCTACTTGATCCCACCCAACACAAGGGCAAATGTAACTCAGATCCTGCCAACCGACAAGATGTGCAAGGACACCCAGCAGGATCAGACTCAGTCAGAGGGAAGCCCTCGACTTGAAGCCAGCGCTGGCGCGGCAATTGCCCTTCGCTACCAAGAGAACGGCCATGTGACACTTCCTCAGAACCAGCCCGGAAAGCCTGCGAACCGGGGATCCGTTTATGTATATGGCACCACACAGCCCAAGACAGGCGAGAAGTTCCTTGATGTTTATGGAGCCTGGACCAAAGATGGAACAGGCGGTGATGGACGGGGAGTGCTTCTGTCGGTGCAGAACTACGACGACAGTCGTTGCTACCAGGTCAATTCGGGGCAAATCTCAGAGACTCGACAAGCGACGTATACCCATACAGCAGATCCGCTGATGGGAGCAGACCTCTGGTGTCAGCAGGATATTCGACTGCCCTCCAATGCTCCCAGTGGGAAACCCTACACACTCTATTGGGTGTGGAACTGGCCCACCGCTGCGGGTGTTGATCCTACGTATCCCAATGGAAAGGCCGAAATCTACACAACTTGTATGGACGTGGATTTGGTGAACACGATCAGCAAGCAGGCAGTCAAGAGTGACTATGAGACTGACCAAGATCTCAACAATGCTGCGATCCCTTCGCAGTTCGATGCACTCGGCGTTCCGTCCTCTCAGTCATCCTCTCAGCTATCCTCTCAGCCGACCACCTTTGTCACATCTTTGGCTGCGACAGGGGTTGAGCCTAAGACAGTCACAGTGACAGATTGGGAGATCAGCACAAGCACTGTATTTATGGCTGGGAGTCAACCCACATAAAATGGAGTTGAAAGACCAAACATCCAAGATAGGACAAAGCGACTGAAAATCCGAATGAAATGACAATCCCTTTGTTTGTAAACTAATTATCCCGTTGTAAACCGAATCTATGTCTCAGATACCCTGCATTCATAACAGAACATGGAGGCATCGAAGTAGAACAATCTTATATATAGCCTTTAGTCCCAACCGGGAATAGACGAAACCAGACTTGAAACGCGCTAAGGCTGGGCGGCACGTGACTGCTCGACGGGTTCAAGCTTCACCCATTCACACACGCCCAACTCTGTGACTCTCAAGCGGCTGCCTTGCATATTGGCTGATTCATGCTGCTTCCTTTGCTGCAGTCCATCGGATAAATCATATTGTCCCAACAACCAACAGTCCCCCGATCCCAAAATCAACTACGCGCTGATCATTACTCCAGTTCAACCTACAACTTAGACAGGTATGGCAATCTCCGAGCGTTCACTCGCGAGTCTATTTCTCCCTCTAATTTCCCATTTCCCATTTCCCATGTGGCCTTGACCAAACACTTGTTACCGTGTGGTTTGCACATTCTTTCCTGCATAAGCGCTGTGCCTCCGTTACATTCGTATCTGACATTGGTCCTTTCTGCAGTTTTCTGCTACTATATTTAGCAATTCCCTACCCTCGAGGTTGCGGGACAAACCGCTGGAACAACAGTCTCGATTTTGCCAATCCCACCTTGAGCCCTTGAACGGATATTCTACTACGCAAATCTTGCAAAATCGCTGGCTTTCTCTTGTTGATATCGTCTTCTCATCGTGAGATCTTCCCCGTCGCGGTTCGGCGTTCCACTCGGACCACATTTGCCCCCCCTCCCTCGTGTCGTTTGCCGATTACCCACCCATTCACCGTCCACCACACCGGAGCCCCTTGGGGATAATATCCTTTTTTTTTGCTTCAAAAGCTTGCCATCCAAGGGTTGCCCCTGGTTTGAATTACGCGAACCTAAAATCGGGTTTGACCCCTTACGACTTGGGCGCTTACTACATCGTCCTTGAGCCGAATATCTCCTCTATCTCCGATCACAAGATATACCTCCCTTGTTTGAAACGAAGGAAAACCAGCTGTCTGCGACTGCGACTGCAAATTCAATAACCTGGACCATATCAATCGCAATGCGAAACTAGAGCGCCAACTACGCGACCGATGAACAACCCCACATTTCCTTCTCTAAGATCCGCCCCGTTATTCATCATCCCGAACTCAATCCTGGGTCTTTCTCCATGTCAACCATGATGTCTTCTCCCACATCATCGCAGAACATTCTTTCCACAAACAACCTCTCAGTCCTGCCACCCATCCTCACCGATGGGACGGTGAAACGGTCATCGACGCATCCGAAGGATCGGCTCTCCACGTATTCCAATGTCTCATTTGCATCACAAAATCGTTCGCGCCCAGGCTCCCATGTCTTCCCCATTTTCCATACAAGTCTTCCATATGCTCTTGTGCGAGACTTCGCCTACCCGTCCACCCATCCCCTTCATTACGGGCCTCCCCCTCCTCGCGCCTCCGGGGTCTCCACACCGGCAAGTGAACACCGACGCCTCTCCGATCCATCACCTTCTTGGGATATATCGCGCGGATGGTCAACAGGCCAATCGGGCATAGAACCTCAGATTACCTATGTCCACCAACAGTTGCCAGCCATGTCCTTTGGGGATGGACCACCATACAGCGAGGATGAAGACCTGCATAGCCCAGTTGTGACGTCGCGTCATCGCAAGAAGACTTCTGACATGAATGGTCTTGTAGATGAGAGAGTCATGTCTGGAACTGGCCAGGCGGTGAACAGTGATCGCGGAATGCTCGTTGGCATTAACCCCGATGGCAGTGAGACTTATTATGTAAATGATGGAGATACGTCAGATGATGGACCAGGTGGTGAGTATGTGACATATCCGGCAAATGAAGGCCGCTATTCAACCATGGGATATAGCGCCCCGGCCGGCCAGCAGGGCTATGAACATGACCCTGGGTTTGAGTCGGAAGATGAAAACCCCGGTGATAACCGGTACTCTAGAGATTATCAGTTTGCCGTTGGCTGCCCGGATGAAGAGATGCATGGAAAAGCCGTCGCACTCTTTGACTTCACACGAGAGCATGAAAACGAACTTCCTCTTACCGAGGGCCAGGTGATTTATGTTTCGTACCGGCATGGCCAGGGCTGGCTGGTTGCAGAAGATCCCAAGACAGGGGAGAATGGCCTTGTCCCGGAGGAATTCGTGCGTCTTTTGCGAGACATCGAAGGAGGCTTGACGTCGCTGAATGGGGAACCAAACCCCGACGTCACCGGGACCGCAGACGTTAGTCTAGACTCCACCGAGTCTGAACAAATATCTACTCCTACCCAGGTGGAGCAGGCTTCATTTGATGTGAGAGCTCAGCCTGGAAACAAAGCCACCGACGATAGTTCCCCCGCTGCAGATTCGACGGAAGGCGCAGATGCGTCTCAATCTGCGACGAATACTGGGACTCCGACCGGTAAAGCGGCTGGGGGCGCCGACAAACGCTCTAGCACGCTGAGCAAGACTTGATACAATTGAATATCAGCCCTGGATGGCTTTGTTCGTCCATGAAAAGCCTTGGCGGTGCTCCGTGCACGAGTCACCTGGAGAGATGGCTTGTCTGTTTCGGTTGCAACCCGCCATGAAATTCTGACAGCCGATCAGCAAAGCTTGGCAACCTCCACTTTCCTGTCAGGGTGGGAAGATCTCTGGTATGAAACATGCAGTTGACTATGTGGGAAGGTTGTTTCATGAGCACTCAATCAGCACCTCCTTGGTGGCTCATCCGCCGAACCCGAATTACCCAATCTCTAAGACCTTTCAGAGCTCCATCTCAAAAGGATTTTTTTTCTTTTACCTTCTCTTCGGACTGTTTCGTCTGATATAAACCCACCTCTTTCTTTCCAGCCTTATGTTCAACCCATCTTCTGCGATGAACTATCACCCATCGCAAGTTCCTCTTTATTAACGTATATCATCCCTTTCTCACGATCTCAATTCATGTCTTCTAATCATACACTTCGGGGGAACATAACCTGGGATTGAGGGGGATTAAGAATCCTTCTTCTACTACATACCCCAAGTTTTTCGCCATATTGTCGCCTTGTCTGTTCTTTCTTCCGTCTCACAAATGTCTCTTATTATCCCCCATCGTCTTTCCTCACCTGTATTTAGTTTCCTTCAGCGCACGCGTTATACCAGCATCAATGAGCATCGGTATCATGCCGATTCAAATCTATTCAATTGCCACTTATCATAAGATACATTCTATTTAGCATATGTCTACACACGACTTTATCAAATGCCAATGTACTATATAACTGATTTACTATGTGACAAAACCAGCCTTGAGAGATACAAAACCGATACCTGGCATTCACGCCTGTCGTATAAGGTACCGGGCTCATCACTACAACCTACTCTGCTATGGTCAAGTAATTATGCCTCTGCCTATGTTGTACATAGTCAGGTGGTTTGGTCATGTGACAAATCCCCTCTTTCAGTCTAGTAGTGGAATACATCATCTTCCCCCATCCCATCCCATAGCTTGTACCATCAGCAGTCAGCATAATGGCAACCCCGATGGCATCTCCGATCCGACTATCCCCACATGTTCAGTGTATCCAGCAAAGCTCACCCTACACCAACATATATGATAATGCGCCTGTTAGTCCGATTCGCGCCCGAGAAAACACCCAACACTTACGGGATATGCTCCCCCATTCCCACCCAGAACAGAAACGCTGGGAAAATCCCGGCGGCTGGGGTGCACGTCACTTGAATGACATGGCGCCGTTCACGCTTTGGGACGAGCAAAACCACAAGTTCCGCCACCCCTCACGTCAGGACTGGACCTGGATCCGTAGTAAGTTCGGGGAGGGAACAGTGCACATCTCCGCGTGGCTTATTTGTATGGAGACGGCCTCTCCACCCCAGCCCATACCACTGACCCTTGGAACGATGCCTGTCATATTCGTGCGTCCCAGTGAGATGTTTAGGGAACCAATCCCCTTATCTGGATATTCGAATCCTCGTGTTCCCGATCCCTGTCCCACTGTCCGGTGGCCCAAATGAACCAATCCGACTAAGCGTCAGATAGTTGCTGTGCTTACTGCCATCGCGCCACTTGCTCGTGTGAGAGCTGCTATGTTTCTCCCGGCTTGGACTATCTTCGAACTTGAGTTTGGAGATGGCCGGAACTACGAAAAGCGATCCCTTCCCGGGGTCGTGGCAGGCCGAACAGCACTTTACCACCATGGAGATGAACCGTTTTCTAGCACCATGAGAAGCCTTACCCGCCCTCCCTTTATTGACCCATCCCTGGTATCGGCTGCTGGTGCTGCACCACAAGATGACTCAAACTACCTTCGGCAGTTGGTTCTTACACCAGGATGTAGAATCGAGAGTGGTTTTGGGCTATCAGGTACCTCAACCGAATCCACAAATGCTGCAACCACGTGTGGTATCAAAATTCGCAATCTCGCGGGCGAAGAAATGCTGACAGTCGCCAATCATGGTTTTCTCTCATCAGAGGAAGTATACCACCCATTTGTGAATGGAGGAGATCTTATCGGCGAGGTAGTCGATACCCGACCTGAGCTTGACATCGCTCTTGTCAAATTAAAACCCGCTGCCTCATCTAGCTTCACTAATTCCTGCTGCTTTCAAGCCGAACCACCTACTCGCCTCCTAGAAATGTCCCAAATCTCCCAAGGCTCATGGAGTGAAGTGGACGGCATGAGTTCAGGGCTCTTTAGCATGATGAATATCGGCACCCAAGCCATGCAACCGAAACGTCCAGCTGGTCATCCCGAAATCGAATTTGAAGAATGGGATACCAGGTCGGTGCATTTCCTTTTTGGGAATGTTAATAGGGCTATCTCTGATGGTGTATGCGGCGCCCCAATCGTAGACGTTGAATCAGGTGGGGTATCCGGCTTTTTCCAGCTGAGTGATGGGGTCTTTGCTTTTAGTGCTGTCCTTGATGATCTGGTGGCTGAGGGATGGGGATTGGTGTGAATGTGGAGTTCTGAGCTATTATCGTCGGATGCCATAGCATCTTCGGTGAGACTTGCCGCTAGCTTGCTATTTTGTCTACCTTTTACACACCCCTTATGAGTTTTATTCATGTATTATTAGCTGTCGGGTGATCTGGAACATACCGCAAAGCATGCGGTTTCACCGAGGACGAAGCCCATGATGTATGAAGTTGCGATAGGGAATGGAGAAACCCCTGTGCCTTCCAGTCTTGCGTCATCATGCTTGCGCTGTTTTTGAGAGCGGAATGAGAAGATCATACACCTCAAGAAATAAGAGGAGCATAATGAAGATTAAGGGCCATCAAAAAGTAGGTGCTTAATAGATGACTCTAAGCAGCGATCAGTGAGCGTTTATTAGATCTCACTGAATAATCACGTGACTTTCGGACAGAAATTTACTCGATGAGCCTGACTCTGAGCGCCCTCATAAGAGCGGCGGCAGCTAAGATAGGATATCCCCACCCCGCAGAGGAAATCAAGTACGTATAGCTACCTAGGTAGGGAAGTAGGGAACCAACTAGGGGAGAGAAGAAATGGGAATGGAATAGAGTATACAAAAACAATGAAGGCAGAATAAAACAAAGATCAAATCAAATCAGGAATTTGAATGCTGAAATCATGACTCCATATCGCAAAAGTAAGAAGCGAGCATGGGCTCAGTGGGTAAGAATGACGAGTTACTTTGCTAGCTAATCAACCAAGCAGATCATCAAAGGCCGAGCTAGACTGTTGCTTATGCTGGGGCTGGCTGGGCGTGGAGACCGTGCTGGAGGGTGCTGGGGTGCCCCAGATGCCGGCGCTGGCCTTTTCCTTGGCCATGCTGGCAAGGTTAGGGCCCTTGTTTGTGCCGGTGTTGGTTTTCTGGATGCCAGCGCTGGCGCTGGCGGTCGACCACAATGAACCGAAAACATCACCCGAGGGCTTCTTGGCTGCTACTGAAGCTGGCTTGTTCGCTGTGGGTGAAGCCACTGAGGACATGGAGGAGGTGGCACCGTGAGAGGATCCAGAAGATTGGGCCACGTTGACGGAGGTGAAGTAGTTGGGTGTGGGAGCTTGGTACCCGGAGGGCTTCTGCTGTTGAATCGGGGCCATCTGCGAAACGGGAGTGGCGAATCCGCTGGAAGAGGGAGTGGGGCTGGCCGATGTGAATCCAACTAGACCGTTGATGTTGGCACCCTGCGAGGCCGAGATCGGCTGAGGCGCAACGAATTGGGTGTTTGAACTTGTGCTAGCAGTGGAAGCTGGAGGAGGAATGGCGAACTGGTTTGATGACTGGATAACCGGAGTTGCAGACTGGAAGTCGTCGAAGTCGTCGTCGTCAACTGGGGATGGGTCTAGTATGTTCAGAGCACTGCCAGCAGGTTGCTTGCCAGTCGAGGTGGAAGCTGTGGTAGTAATAGGCTCGTCGTCGCCAAAGTCGAAGAGGTCTGCTACAGGCGCAGGAGCTGGCTCGGGCTTCTTTGCTTGGGGCTTCGCCCGGGAGACAGACTCACGTGGGCGCGCTGGGGCATCTCCCTCGTCATACTCGTCATATTCGTCGAAGCGGTTAGGCCGGCGTCCGCTGTCCTGGAAGTCAACGCCAGCTTGCCCGCCAGATTCCCCGCCAAAGCCGCCGCCGTCGCCGTAGACACCTCCGCTGTATCCACCGTACCCCATACTATCGCTGCCAAAGCCTCCATAACGGCCCGAACCCGAGCTGGACATGCCCGCCCCGGCACCCATGCCACCTTCGAAACCACTGAACTTGTTGCGGTTGTTCTTGGCCTTCTTTCTTTCAGTCCGAATCTGATCCACATCACCCAGCAATTTCACCAGCTCGGACGACCGGTTGCGCACATTGATACCCTGATCCTTGCCGTTTATGTCGATATAGTGAAACTGCCGGAGCATCCGAATCAACGACATGTGGGATCGTGCATCATCGACGACTCGTTCGGAACCGTTCTTGACAAGGAATTCGAGGAGCTGAAGACTCTATATTTGGAGGAAAAAAGGTTTAGTCAATGCACACCCGCATGGATAACCACGGTTCTCTTACCTTGTAAATTTGTCGCCATTCCTCTGCAGCCTTGTCGGTGAATCGCTTGTAGATAAGGGGCATGATCTCATTGAGTAATTGGCTGTAATGACAGAAGATCAGCGCGTGCGCATTATTGCGGGTAATACCAGATAACATGGACTGACTAGCTATGCGTTCCATTCGCGATATCCTGCATCAACGTGGTCGAGGCGCCCCAGGGTTCATTGTTTGTAGCTTCCCGGACCTGACTTGGGTAAGCATTGGATCGCACCATCTTTTCGCTTTCACTCTACGAAAGGCCATGTTGTTTCGCGCAGGGGTGAGCGATTGTACACGAACCTTGGATTCCATCTCGGTATAGTTCATAACAGCTATGACGGAACGGCCAAATCAGTTTCCGCAAATTGTAAGACACATGCAAGCTGATTCGGGCTTGTTCATAACGCCCTCGGACCAAGCGGGATTCAGACTTACCATTCTGTACCTTGCGAACACCGGCCTTGAGGTCATACAAGGACAAGTTGCTGACTTGATCTTTGAGGTTGGAGAAATCCATGGTGAGGGGTGACTGTTAGTCGTCAGGGGAAGTATGGAGAAACGAGGATCGGAGAGAAAATATAATAGCAGCACAGGCAATTGGAAGCCAAGCACAGGAAGAATCAAAAATCCCTCAGGACTAACGTGGACAGTTGGAGGGGAGGAAGATGCCCGGTTTCTAGCTGGCAACCCGATTGAATGCGCCACGTCACGTGGCAACCCCTGACCAAGCCCTGTATACTTCGAATACAACAGACGATTATTGTACGTAAGTCTACTTTCTACTTAAAAGGTCTTCTGGAAAATTGAATTGGTTTACAATTGATATTGAATGGTATCATACTGTGTACATGTTATTCGCCCGTATAGACCGAATGCTACCGCTATCGAAATCAACAAAATACCCATGGTATCTTAAACAAAGACAAATAATAAGAAAGAAGAAAAAAAAAACAGACAAATAATAATATCAATAAAACTGTGCACCCAATTCATCCCTCATCAAGTCCGTAAGCCATGCCTCTCACTCGTTATAGAACTTCTTCATGATCAAATGCAAGAAAAGGTTGACATTGACTCGCATCTGTCCCTCAAAAAAGTCCATGAATTGCGTGTTGTTGAACTGAGCCTGCAGCAAGTCGTCCAGCGGTACCTGTGCGTTGGCGCCAGGAATCATCATGACACCGCTGCTCCCGTCAATGGTGAACACACCAACTTCGTTACTTGAAATGGTCAAGTCGACCCGATCCCACTGCCGCTCGGCGTAGCCCTTCCAGGCGACCAGAACACCTCGGTCCGCCAGAGTGCGCGCAGAGTATTTGTAGGATCCAAATTTGAATATCTTGCCGGATTTTTGCAGCTCTCGTTGATGATCCCATTGTTTGGTGAAAGGCATCAGGAATCGCTTCTTTCCCTTCTTGTTCTGTAACGTGATCATGGCTTGCTCAATGTAGTCGTTGTATGTCTTGAGTTGCTGGTCCAGGTAGACGGCTTGGCCGCTGAGCCTCTGGGAGGTCAGCCGAGCACCCTCGAGTTCACGCTCTCGTTGAATTCTCCGACGGTGCTTGGTGCGGATATCAGTGGCAATGGCATTCAACAAATCCTGATAATGATTGTGACGATTGATCTTGCCAGTCTGTTCAAGACGAAGAATATTTTCGAGTGCAATGCCCTTGAGCTCGGAATAGCTCATGGTACCAATGTCAATTAAGCTGTTGGCTTCCGAGTAGGCGCCTCGGCGAGGGTTGTTCGTGCTCAGTTCTTCCCGAACCAAAGTGTGCCATCGCTCATCGTCTTCGGCTGTCGGCGGCTTGAGCATAACATCCATAAGGTTGGCACCTGTTTGGACTCGGATGATGTAAAGGATGCAACGCTTAGTCTCCATAAAGAGCGTCTTCACATCGGCTTCGGGATCTGGGATGTAGAGTTAGAAAAATGAACAAACGGGGGCTTTGCTGAATTGCTTACCTTCAAGCTGGGCCAACTTGGGATTTAATGTGAGATTGATCTCGGTAGAGCTGACGCCCATCAATTCGTTCTCATTACTCTTGACATTGCCAAGTTCTCGCACAACTTCCTTGAGGAAGTCATCAGGGTGGGGGCACATATAGTTAATCTCAGAGGCCACAAGCTGGTGAATCGAGAAGATGTCAGACATCTTAATGTACAGGGTAGGTTTGGCCTTAGCATAGAGGTCGTTGAATTCATCAATGTCGAAATAAGACTCTGCATCCTGGACTGAGATCATCTGACCCCAGATATTCCCTAGGCGCTGGATTGACTCTCCGATGTACTTGTTGAGCGGCTGAAGATAAACATTATCTGCCCCAAATAGTCTGCCGGATGCAATCTGAGCGACGACCTTAGAGATTTCGCCAAGATTTCGCTTTTGTTCTTGGGTGAGGCCCCGATCGATCACACCGTACTTCTCTGGCTCCAGCACAGCAGGCTGGAAGTAGCTTTTCCATACCCAGTGGCCAACCGCCTGGAGAATCAAGCCTGGATCCTCGGCAGAGAATCTCTCCAGTAGATTCTGATACATCTGCTGTGCGAGATATCTGATACCGAATGGCATACGGTATAGGAAGTCTTCAAAGCCTGAGAATAATTGATCGACAATGTCACGAAGATCTTGCAAATGTTGAATGAACGTTTCTCTGGTTTCGGGGTCTCTAATCGCTTCTTCTCTGGGAAGATCCGGGTGTCGGCGGCTTCGTTGGCCGGTTTGCAGCTCCTCGTTGTTGATTGCGGAACGGTAGATTTGAATTGGATCACTCTCCAAATCAAGGTCTGGGTTGTCGATAACAGACTCCTTCACGACACCCCCCAAGACGTCGCGCATGAACTTCCGATCGCGGGATGACTTGGCATATGAGGCGAAAAGCTTGTTCCAGAAAGAGGTGCAGCGCAAATATTCAGCAAGA